CCTGTGTATGTCTGTAATCTCGAGTTGCACGGTAGCAAAAGTGGTAGCTTTTTCATTGAACCGCGGTTTACAATGGTGACCGCCGCCCCAGTATCTAGCTCCATGTCTATCGGTTCATCCTCTATCGTCAAACGTATTGTGTAAAGAGGACAGTCTTTGAGTGTCACACTTTTCAAGTACACGGAGTTAAGCTCACTGTTCAAATTTTCTAGGACCTTATCTTCCCGTAGCTCTATCTTTCTTTGACGATTTGATGAGGAGATATTCGTGGGGCGGAAACTTTCCGATCTACAGACACGTGCTAGATGGCCTATCTTGGCGCATTTCCGACAGATACTTTCTTTGTGCCGGCAATCGGAAGCGTGAGAATGCCGCAGACGGCAAAGATAACACAAATTGTTTTCGATGTTCACTGGTGTCTGATTTGCGAACCGCGTGCACATCATCAACTACCGGCCGACCAGTAAACTCGCGTAATTGGTGTGTAATGTTCTCTGGCTGGCGAACGATGAGATAAACGTTTTCCCACGTGGCGGCCGACTCTCCAAGCATAACAACTTCTCTCTAGTGCCAATAAAAATCTGTACAGACATGTGAACAGCCTCCGTAATATGAAACGTGGTGCTCCCCCACTAATATCAGCAGATGGATGTGCTCAAACCGCCGTGGATGCGGCTAACCTACTACGGCTTCAATATGCTCCAATTTTCCAACGTGCTACCAGCATGTCTACAATACTTGTCCCAATCTCCCAGACGCCAGTATTTGCACACGTCACCTTTAGTCCGGCGACCATTTTGAGGAAATCGCTCTCGATGTACACCCACAGTTCCCCCGGGGTTGATAACATTCCCCTGAAAGCACTGCAGGTAGCAGTTGCGAGGATAGCTAAAACCACTAACGAGATTTTTCTGAAGATGCCTGGACGAATAACAGATCCCTAACATATGGAAGTAAGACATCATTATCTCGATTTTTAAGAGTGATAGCCGTTCAGAGTCAGCCAGCTATCTCCCAGTGCTTCTCCTCTCGGTGCTTTCAAAGGTGATGGAATCGATCGTAACCGAAGCCTTAATGGGCTACTTTGAGAGGTCTAATATCATTTCACTGGAGCAACACGGATTTCGTCAGCACCGATCATGTACCACCAATCTACTAATTGCCCTCATCAGTTGGACCGAGATAGCTGACAGTGGACAGACATTGATGTCATCTACCTAGACTTTTCTAAATGCTTCGACCGCATAGATCAACTCATCCTTCTCCAGGAGCTGAAAGCGTTCGGACTTGGGAACCCTGTCCTTGGATGAATCGGAAACCTCCTATTTCAGTGGCGCCTTCAGGTCCGAGTTGGGGGTTCGTTTTCTTATCCAAGTAATGTGGACTGCGGTGTTCCATAAGCGTCAGTATTGCTGCCGCGGTTCTTTCTGTTCTTCCTTAACGGCCTTGTGAGTGTCATCAAGTCAAACTTCCTGCTCTTTTCCGATGACATCAAGATATGGCTTGCAACCGGCTGTCGGAAAGATCACGATATGCTGCAACGAGATTTAGACCACGACTTTGAATGGTCAAAGGCAAAGCTGCTTCCATCTAACAAGGATAAGTGTGAAACCGTGCCTGTCCGCCACAAGCCCACGAACTCATATAAGCTTGGAGACGACATGCTGAAAACCGCCTCACAAGAGCGAGACTTTGGGGTGGTGATGCAAGATGATCTTGGCTGTTAGGTGCAGTCCTTGAATGCGTCCGAAACTGCAAACCAACATGTTGTTCTGTTAAGGAGGGCTTTCGGGCGGTTCGATCCCTCCATCTTCCTACAAATGCTCAATGCATATGTGAGGCTCTATGTACAGTCCGCGATCCAGGCTTGTCAACCTTGGTTAAAACGCGATCTGGCTGCGCTAGAGGCCGCCCAGCAAAGTGCAACAAAAAATGTGAAGGGATTGTCCCACCTACAATACTATAGACGACTGAGAGCCCTGGGAGTGTACAGCGGCAGATACCGCCGTCTACGGGGTGACCTTATCCTGGCGTTCCAGATCTTGAAGCACCTGGTCACGCCTGCCAACAACTGAAGCTTAACCGCAACACGGAATGAAGTGGTCATAAGATGAAACTGGCCACCCAATACAGTCGGCTGGAATGACGCCGGAATTATTTTTCGCTTCTAGTTTGTCAGCCGTGGAACGCTCTTACGACTTTAGTCATTTCCGCGCCCACGCTGCCCATTTTTAATAAACGATCCGACGACACTTTACTCCACCTACATTACTTAAACTGATTTCTGTTCATTTAGTTACGACTTGGCGAAGGCAAACATTGTACACACCAACCCCACGAAATCGGGGTAGATGGATATACCTTTGTGCTAATGTGGTGAGTCCACTGATGCGTTTTTTTCACTTTTGTGCAAATGTTGAACTAACCTTATTTCCACAAACCATCCTACGCGACTTGTTAAACCTTGGTTTTTTATCCGTATTATACCATTGTTCCGTTATGATGGTAGCCAACTTCGAACTCACCATCAGCATATGTAAGACCATCGACGTTTTTCCTCCCCCAACTTCAGTGTGCTTCTTGCAAATCCAGCTTCACGACGAAACATCACAGACTAGCCCAACCTTTTACTATTTCGAAATTACACCATCAACAATGTCATATCTAGGATTTTCTCAGTTCTGAGCTAGTAACATCCTAAAACTAGAGCTCCGACAGCGTCACAGAGCTAAGATTCAAATGCGGAAGGATATGTCACCAAAGCCAGCAGCCGATATGAAGTCAAATCAGGGTGCGTAATGGGTGGTAAATTACAGTGTGCATTATCGGAATGAACATGTCTTCCAATACGGGAAATCGTAGTAGAAGGCTACGAAACGGGCTCGTCGCTGGAGACACAGTGTGTCCCCTCATGCACTCATACACCCTCCCGTGTTAAGCCAATTGGACTGATTCAGTCGAGTTTCTGTGCACTCGGTAACTGACTTTGTGGTTCTGTCAAGCATGATAAATCCCAGGGAATTAGAGAGTAATCAGAGTTGGCAATAGGTTACAAGCGATGTGCTTGCGTATTAAATGCAGGTGCAGCCTGTGGCTGTCTGGAACCTCAGGCGTGGAAGTAGCAACATCTGATAGGTGGGATCATGAGATGGATGCTCGTGTTAATGGCGTTGTTAGTCCTCCCCTAACGCAGCAAAATATGGACACTATGAGAGCACGACTGCTATCTGAAATGAGTGAACCTAAGCTACTTGCGGCAAATTAAGCGAATCCGGTGATCGGGTATTTCAACTGAAACTGGAGTAATCCGCAGAAGTACGTATGGAATATATAGCATGTTGCTGCTGCAACGCCTGGTTTGGGTTCATCATATCCGCTGTAAGAATGCGGTTAGAGTACCAATTGGGAGCCGGAGGGCGGAATGCAGACAAATGGAAATGGTTTTGTCAGGACAGGATCAAAGTGAGTTGGTCACAAACTAGTGTTGTTTTCAAATGACAGGCAGACATATCACCCCAGTATCGTCAGTGATTGGACAGCATTGTGCTTTTTTATACAAACTAATCCATACGACATCGATATACTTCAGCCGATAGCTTGGGGAGGAGTGTAGATTGGAGTTTCATCTCATCTAGGTACCCTTAGAGAATATGTTTTGGTGTCGATCACTATCAACGCTACACTTCATCCGCAGTTTTGGCCGCGTTTGAACTCTTCAGATGGGGGCATGCGAAGCTTGGAATTAAACAACACTACACTGAGAGTGACGTCACTGTGATCACAATGGTCCTTGGTTTCAGTCCCAAATCTTGTCGTGTTTATCTAAGCAATTCAAACAAGTCCGAAACCAGTGGTACTAAGACCTGATGTACTCCTGGTGTTCGCAATGGCTAAGCCGTACTTTAAACTAAGGTTATATGTCACAATCGACCCACCTATCGGGTACTCCAACTTGAAAAGCAAACTCCTAACAGTTGTGGCATGAGTAGGCTGTGAGGTGGGTGGGTAACTATTGGACGTCTTTTCCGGCAACCGCGGAACAGCCTGTTCATTTTACAGCTCCGGCTACCTATGCGTGTAGTATGCAAAAAAGGGTGAATCGGTCATCGAGCGTAATGTTACAATTCAGCGCCACCGAGAATGTGTCCACTTCCGACACCGTCACAGTGATCGAAATGATTGAGGTTTAATTACTGATTTATTTGTGGGGCCAAAACTGAGGATTGTTGTTACCACTCATGGGTACACCAAACCGCAACAATGCAGTTGAATTGACTCCACATAACTGATTGGGGCAGCCGACGTTGAGAATCCAATCTCTTAACCTCCGTGAGGCCATGAACCCAGGTATGCCATCACACAAATTGAATTATTCGAGACGGACAATTTTGTAAGAAGAGTAGGCTCGTTGAACTGAAGAACACATATTGCGAGGAAGGGGTCGGTGTGCTTTGAGGAACCGTATCATTCTATTCAAGGTAACTGAACGCAATTGAACTATTTGGCTGGCACTTCCGATCGCTTTGTGGCGGATTCCTACTGATATCCTCCGTTTTGATCAATCACAGCTCTGTGTGGCACCATTTAAGTAAGCGCAAAATCCGACTCAAAGTTACAGGAAACCATTCGAACTTTTGTATGTCTTTTAATAACTCGGACCACGGATTGGTCCAATTTATACCTGCTTTCTGCGGTCTTGGAACGATAGTCGTGATTCATTCGGTTCTCTTCTCTCGCTGTAAGTTAGTGATTTCTCTGAGCATATGTAGAGGCAGTCCACAACTCGATGCATAAGCTGTCGGACGTTCGACGCTATAACAGAGCGCCCTGCAGGAATTAGAACTGGCATGTAGCAAAACGCACAAGCAAAAATCCGATTACAGAGAAACGGTATTCACCACGCTACTACGATCTGTGGGGTGGTAAATCATTTTAGCTCAGTATGAAGTGCATAGTAGAATTGTTCTTCGGTCTTAAAAGACCACAAATACCAGACTCACTTCTGCAATCGTCGGAGTACGTAGTAGTGTTTACCGACGTCAGTCCAGCGAACATTGATTAAGTTAGGGACAGGCTTTTCTGCAGAGATTTTAGTGAAAGAAATGGAAAGTTGTCAGTTACTTGACAAACAACGCTGAACAAGTAGATACAGTAAAATCATTCACTTTTGTCACCTCTGATAAGTAGTGTTGCCCATTGCAATGCTTACTGCTTCAGGGCCGACGGCATTAAACAGGCGTTTGAACAAATGAACATCGGTCTCTGAGAGTGATATTTCGGTAGGCGCAATTTAGCTAATTCCTTACTAGACGCACTGTTCATTGTCGCTAGATCCCTGAATTCAAAGCCGTACTATCAAAAAATTGATTGCACAACTCTTGGTTTCATTCAGACAATTGTTATGCGTGTTACAAATGAAATGGATAGATTGTGGTGTACGACGGCTATCTTCCATTGCTGAATAAACAAACTGAGTATGCGCTCTGTCTGCTCACATTCTTTGACGGCATAAAGTAATCGAAATGTAGCTATTTTGCGATCTATAACTTTTACCCTGGTCGGTTAAAAAACAAAACATCATCAATTTTGCATGGAAGGTTAGTGGAATCAAGCAGAAGGTGGAATTTCTGACTCATTTTCGGAAGTAACCTTGAGTGCCGTGGTAGGTGCTTTGTCAATTGTCAATAAATACCTGGCGTCACAACCATCTCGCACATATAGTGAGCACGTATCCTTACACCACGGGGATTCAGCGTCCTACGGTTAATCAGCTGCGGTCCAAGAACACGTGTGGAGCGCATCCAGTAATGAGAAACCACGTTCGGAGAAGAAAAACAACTAACAGCACTGATGGAAAAACAGAGGAAACCATGGCAGAAGAAAGAGGAAAATGTCATGCGGTTCATATGAAAATGCCAACACGCAGAGACGATGGACCCCTTGCGGAAACGCTGCTGCCCCACTGATTAACGAGGGAATCACACCAATGGTGTGGCCCCCTCGGAATCGCCATCCAGGGAGATGGTGTGCAACACCCGACAAGTCTTTCAATCAGTGAATTCGAGACCTTTTACCATATCCTATGCTGATCATCCTGAATCCCCTACCAACCAGGTAAACCAGTGGTCTACTGCCACCATATATATATATATATATATATATATATATATATATATATATATATATATATATATATGGCGGGAGAGCCTATGGTGCGCTGAGGCTGGTGGTGGCTAGATCCTGACAGATGGTCTACCCACTGCTGCTACTGCTGCGCCATAGTCTCATGTCCTGGGCGCCTCCACGTGGCGACCGCTGGGTGGGAGTTGGGTTTCGCCCTTCTCCCTGCTAAGATCCAGGACACCAATCCGCATGAGTCGGCTAACTGACCATGTGCTAGACTCGCTGCCTTTCGGGTGTTCATTTAATCGAAGGCTTTGGCTGAGGACCCGAGTCGTTCTCCTGTCAGGATTGGGCGCCCTGGCAGTATCCTAGTCCATCCTCTCCGGAGGTTAGGAAGTGGTCGATGGCCCACTTCCCGTAAAACCTAGCCATGGGAGACAACAGGTTTACGGGTTATATTCTCACAGCTCGATTGGCGTAGAGCACGAGGGCCACGCATTGTCTCTGACGGTGGGAGGACACCTCCGGGTGTTCAATGGTTTGCCCGCCTCAAGCCAGGCAGCCCCTGGTCAAATTGGTGCAAACCCGCCAAAAACCCACCTGCGTCTGGCCGTGGTCGCAGGTGCGTATCCAATTACGGTCGCAAAACATATGATAATTGTTCCAGAACCTCAAACGCTGCGTGTGACGGCCGTCAAGCAGATCCCAATCTGTCTCAGCAATCACATTCCCGAGCTGGATCTGCTCTCCACTGCCTTGTGGGTCAGCTATTGAACCAAAGGCTCCGGGCGGAGTCCCTCAAGCAAACCTCCAAACCACCCACTGCCTTGTGGGTCAGGCTATTGAGCCAAAGGCTCCGGGTGGAGTCCCTCAAGCAAACCTCCAAACCACCCACTGCCTTGTGGGTCAGGCTATTGAGCCAAAGGCTCCGGGTGGAGTCCCTCAAGCAAACCTCCGAAGCACAACGACCACCTCGCGTGCGATTGCCCACCAATGCAATCGTATGCCTGCGCGCAAAGCACTCAACATCGGGTGCTGGAACGTGCGCACACTACTGGACCGGAACTCGAGCGAGCGCCCGGAGCGACGCACTGCACTCGTCGCGATGGAGCTGGCGCGCTACCACATCGATATTGCGGCGCTCAGTGAAACTCGGCTCGCTGAGCAAGGTAAGTTACATGAAGCAGGTGCTGGCTATACATTCTATTGGGTGGGGAACGCCGCCTCAGCACCACGTGAACATGGGATCGGATTTGCAATATCCGATCGCCTGAATGGCCAGCTGGTGGGTGAACCAACGGGCATCAGCGCGCGACTGATGACTGTTCGCCTACGACTCGGAAGAGGTAAGTTTGCTACTTTTATAAGCACGTACGGTCCGACCATGAGTTATCCTGATGACACGCGTGATCAGTTCTACACTGAGCTATCCTCCGTGATACGGTCTGTGCCGAGGAGCGACCGACTATTTCTGCTGGGTGATTTCAACGCGCGCGTTGGGCGTGATGCATCAGCGTGGACAGATGTTATCGGTCCGCATGGCATTGGTTCAGCGAATGCGAACGGTGACAGGCTGCTCTCACTGTGTGCCACTCACGGCCTGACGATCACGAACACTCGGTTTGCACTGAGTGCGAGTGATATAGCAACTTGGACGCACCCACGGAGTGGTCACGTTCACCTGCTCGACTATGTCATCGTACGTCAGCGTGATATGCGTGAAGTGCGCATGACACGTGTACTGCGTGGAGCTGAGTGTGGCACTGATCACAAATTGGTTCGGACCAAACTGTACATATATTTTCGTAAATCGATGTATTGCACTCCCGCCGTGAATCGGCGTAAATTTAACATTCTCTCCCTCGGTACTGTGGTGAAACGTACTGAGCTGGAGAAGGCGATGGCTGCACGCCTGTGTGGTGATGTGGACTGCATAGCCACAGTGGGCGACCTGTGGCACCACATTCGCGATCAGGTGACAGCTGCTGCCGAGGAGACCATTGGGCGCGCAAACTGTAAACGGCCTGATTGGTTTGATGACAACAATGCGACGATTGGCGCATTGGTGTCGGAGAAGAATGCAGCATTTGCTGCACATGCTGCAGACCCCAGTGACTTGGGGAAGAAGAGTCAGTTTCGCAAACTTCGACGGCGACTGACCCGAGAGCTCCGTCGCATTAAAAATGCATGGTGGACGGAGAAGGCGAAGCAGATGGAATGTTACGCCGAACGCCGCCAACACAAGGAATTCTTTGACTCCTTGAAGGCGGTGTATGGACCGAGATTGGAGCCGCTGAGGACACTGATCGATGGTAGTTCAGGCGCTACCTGCACCCAGACTGCAGACATAATGCAGGTCTGGCGGAAACACTTTGACTGTCTCTTGAACAACCGTTCAGAGATCGACTGGCCTACATTGAACGGCCTGAAGCAGCACGATGTAAAGGCGGATCTGGCGGATACGCCGACACGGGATGAGACGCAGAGAGCACTTGCTCAGCTGCGAAACGGCAAATGTGCCGGAGCCGACGGGATCCCGCCTGAAGTATTGAAACACGGTGGACCCGCGTTGTTGACTGCGCTGCACCACTTGGTGTAACGCGTGTGGATTGAGGAGGAGGTGCCTCCTGAGCTGAAGGATGCCCTTGTGCTACCACTGTACAAGGGCAAAGGGAGCAAGCAATGTTGCACGAATTATCGTGGCATCAACTTGCTGAGTTGTGTGGGCAAGGTGATTGCCCGAATCCTGCTCAATCGCCTCGTGAGTCAGATTGTGGAACCTAACGTGGCGGAAGAGCAATGTGGATTCCGTTCGGGTCGCAGCACTATAGATATGGTGTTTGCGGCTCGTCAGTTGCAAGAGAAGTGCAGAGAACGACACCAGCCATTGTACTCGCTTTTTGTTGATTTCACCAAGGCATTTGATACGGTGAACCGCGAGGCATTGTGGCTGGTGTTGGGTAAGTTTGGTTGCCCGCGTAAGTTTGTAAGTTTAATTGGATGTCTGCACAGTGGTATGCGAGCGAGGGTGCAGCTGAGTGGAGAGACCTCGGATGACTTTGCAGTTGTCTCTGGTGTGAAGCAAGGCTGTGTCTTAGCTCCTGCCCTGTTTAATATATATCTTCATGCAATGTTGCCCTGTGCTTTTGATGCGACTTGTGCTTACGGTGTTCGTGTGGAGCACCGTATTGATGGTGGGTTGCTGAACATCCGTCGTTTCGGTGCGAGAACTCTAGTCTGTGAGACAACTATCCGTATGTTGCTGTTTGCTGACGACTGTGCATTGTTTTCACACAGCGCGGATGAGTTGCAGCACATGACTAGTGCTCTGGCTTCGACAGCGGCCAAATTCGGGCTCACCATCAACACAAGCAAAACTGTCTGTCTCTTTCAACCTTCACCAGAGGTGCAATCTTCAATATTGCCGCAAATCAGCATTGGTGCTGAAGTATTGGAAACCACCTCCCGCTTCTGCTACCTTGGGAGTGTGATGTCGACTGATCAGCAGCTACACGTTGAGTTGCGTAATCGCGTGTCGAAGGCGGCAGCGGCATTCGGGAAGCTTGAGTACCGAGTGTGGAACAACCATCAGCTTACCATTGGCGCGAAGCTGATGGTGTACAAATCCATGGTACTGTCCGTTCTTCTATACGGCAGTGAAACGTGGACGATGTACCGTCGGGATGTGCGATATCTCGAGCGGTTCCATCAGCAGTGTCTGCGACGAATTTTGCGGATCGGTTGGGGCGCCAGAGTCGCAGACACGGAAGTGTTGCGCCGAAGTGGGATGTATGCAGTGGACGGCATACTTTTACTGCGACACCTGAGATGGCTCGGTCATGTGAGCCGTATGGATTCGGCGCGGATACCGAAGCAACTTTTATACGGTCAGCTGAGTATTGGGAAGCGGCATGCTGGGAAACCAAAGTTACGTTACCAGGACATGATTAAAGTGAGCCTCACACGTTCTAATCTTGATTGTAGGTCATGGGAATCGAAGGCGGTTGATCGGCGTGCATGGCGCGATCTAATCACGAAGGCAGTTGCTGAAGTGCGGGAGAAAGACCTCATGCATGCAGAGAAGAAGCGGCAGTTGCGGAAGCGGCAAGCACCGATGAATTGTACTCCATCGACATCGAGCGCATGGTGCTGTAGAACATGCGGTCGCGAGTGCCTTAGTCAGGCAGGCCTAGTGAGCCATGAGAGAGGTCACTCGGGACCACTGCCGAAGCGACGACGGGTCCCGCAGTGAACGTAGGCAGCACCGGCGCAGCGTTTGTAGGCACGCTGAATTCGATTTACTAACCGCATGCTTGCATGCTAAGTCTCTCTATTTCAGGTGGTGGGTTTACAGTTTTTACCTTAATGCTTTTCTTTCTCATATAAATATCTCCCTGTACTCTATTTCATTAACTTGCACACATCGCTTAAGCCAATTGTATTCGATTTCCATAACATTTTTGTGTTCGTGGCATTCCGTGAACTATACTTTCTGACCTCGTGCACTTAGCTAGGATTTGTTTGTAATCAACTTATTACATATGCTATTTAATTAAGGTTTATATCACCGTTTCCTTATGCATTAATCGAGTTTTTCTCTTTTCCTTTCTCTCTTTCAAGTGTTTGGCTGTTGTTTGATATCCCCGGTGTGGATGCGCTTGATGTGCATGTTGACAAGGTGCCTACCTGTCTATTACCCACTAGCTCGTCCATACTGGCTCCAGGAGACAGTTGGTCGTTGCTGGAGGGGACAGGGTGCACGGTCCTTGTGGCCGTGTTAGGATCAAAGAGTGGTTCCATGCAGTCAGTGTGGAGCGGACTACGGTCCAGCCACCGCCTTGTGTGCGCTTGATTCCCAAATACAGTGTGCTTGTGTTTGCCTGTGAAGGAGTGTGGGCCGGCTCCGTTGATGAAACGTGGTTCCCATCCGCATGCCTCCCGGTCTTATTCCTTCGGGTTTACACTGGATATGGGGTATGTGGTTGGAGCTGTGGGTGGTGCAGCGCAAGCCATCCATGGTCCCTCTGTAGGCGCAGGCGTCTTGTGACTGGCCACAGTGACAGGCAAATCCGAAACCGGATGCCGCCAACCATATATATATATATATATATATTCCTCCACTTCGGTACCCCAGGTTCTTATGTGTAGTAACACTCGAAGTGGTGGGCGGAATACAGTAGTTTTAATCAACCGGGGTTAACTCAGTCATAAGAATCGCAGAGAAATCACAGGCGTAGGCCTAGCGTACCGTTTAGAATGGTAATCAATCAAACCGCCAACATAGTCCAATTAATCTGACGCTTACAAACAAGCACGCGCCAACGTCGCGTCAATTTGGAAGGCTGAAGAGGACCAAACAATAAGTACTGCGTTACACTGCTAGCCTCTAAGTGGCGCCGTCCTCAGCGCCTGCGATTTCCTTAGCTGGTTTCAGACTGTTGAAGTGTACAACCATTGAAGAACTAGAAGCACTAGGCTTCATGATCCGAGAATTCAGACTCGACAAGACTTCCTGCACGACAAACGGTCCTACCCAATTTCGACGGAGTTTAGCAGAAACACCTAGTTGTTACCATTGTTTTAAGCCAGACGGCATCACCAGATTTGAACGGGTTTCTGAAGGCTTTTCTGTCAAAGGATGCTTTCTGGTGTCGCTGTGTGGTCTGTAAATGCATCCGTGCCAGCTGATAGGCTCACAACTAACTCGACTGTTGTTATAAACTTCACACAAGAGTCTAATCAATTCTTACTTTCTCCAGGACAACTGTAATCGAGATATATGCTCCGGTGCGATTACAGATTCATGCTATGATGTTGACAGCAGAGTATCCAACGGTAGGTGCAGCTCACGTCCAGTCGTTATAAGGTATGTTGTGTTTGACCGATCGATGAGTGAACTGATACTTGATAAGCTAATAAACATATAGGTAGGGCTGTTTCCCTTTCGTGATGCAACTCGCTATTTAAAAACCACTATAGTAATGCCATCAGTGTACGGTTAGTATGCCCAACTAACCCGTTTCCTTCTGGATGCAACCCAGTAGTCCTTGTCTTCCGGATGCCGAAAAGCTGACACAGCTCGCTCAGGAGTGTTCTCTCTGAGTTGGTTCCGCGGTCTGAGTGTACCTGATGGGGTGACTGAAATCTCACCTAGCTTTACTTTGGGTGTGGTCCAACCTATGGGTTTGACAGCGGTCCTGTTGGCTGCCATCAAATTCATTGAATTGTGCAGCTTTCGTTCTGTTCTCCGAGCTGAACAGTTTCGCTGCAAACATTTCATCATTAGTCGAGACGACTTCTCCAGTGCTTAGTAAGCAAACTGAGTTGTTTGTCAATTCCTGACCGACAAGATGCTGGGTATGTGGATTCAGGAGGAGAACATTCGCAGGCGCACTCTCCAGCTATGGTCAATGTACAGCTGCAGGACACTGAGTTTTTAGTCAACACAGGTGGCCACCAGCTCAATATCGGTGGGATAATGTGTCAATTTTTCTTTCCTTACATATCTCACTTAAAATCCTGTCAAATTGCGCAGTTAATTAACGAGATCCCTTGGTGTAGAATCTACCTTAGGGACTTCCGGTAGCAAAGGAGTAGGAGGAAGAGTTTAATGGTATAGGCAGATATCTAAACAGTCAGACAGCCGTGACACGCTTGAAAGAGCACGGAGGTTTCATCCTTTCGGGAATCGTCAGCAGTGCGCATTCCATCTGCCCCTTGTAGGTCTCGAACTGGGAACTCGACTGTTGCCAGTGTGGTTGAGACCACAGAGCTACGGGGAACGGTAAAGAGCGCCGTGACTTTCACTAAAGCCTGGCTACAAAACGTAAATAAGACTAGTATGCAACACTGAGCACACTGTGGACACCGAATTCCACCTGAACGGGGTCATGGGGGTCAGTGACAAGGTCAACACGACGACGCCCAAACGTAAGATGGTCAGTTTGATAACCACTGACGCGTGGCCATTTTCAATACCCTTTTCCTTGTGAGACCGCTAGATATCCTATGAACTAGGTAGCATCGCGAAGCATAGCATGTGTATAATTGACGACAGCTGCCTCAGATTACATCCATGTCAAGTAAAGTCAAGTTTGGTTTTATGTAGCCCGATGGGTGGATTTTCAGCATTTTACATTATCAACCCCAAATGGACTACATTTACTTCATCAAAATGTACAATTTACCAAGGAATAAACAAAATCGAAAAGGTTGTGTTGTTGTCACCAGAGTGAATGGCCCCGCATTCCTGAAGAGCGATTGCAGATCGCCAAATAGAACTCATTGCGTTTGAGTCCAGTCGACAATGCGAACTTTTACTCAAAATATCATCATAATTGGTTTAAACTGATCCAAAATTCCATGAGCAAAAGAAACAACGCGCTTCGTGCGCAGCATCTCATACTTTATATTAAGAAGATGGATAGAGTAAGAAGTTCGCAATGACTAAGGAAATAATTTAACCAAAATAGTTGTCAAAATAATCTCGCAAAACTTGTGGATCCACAGCAGATAGCGTAAGCGTAGTGTTCGGCGAAAAGACAAAGACCGTATGCGGATAGATGCTGGATGTAAACTGACTACCGGAAACCACTAGACCAGCTTCGCTGCACCATGTTAGGCAGCATCTATCCAGAGATTTATTGCAGTGAGGCTGTAAAGCGCAACGGTACGCCGGCGCCCCCAGCTCCACACTCTTTGTTTATAGTGCAAACCAGAAAAGGTGACCAAAGACATGCTCATGAGAATGGCAATTAACACAGGGCAGACTTGCACTCAAACGTACAATTCAGGAATGAAAACTTTGGAAAGGTGTGTTATAAGTGCACGGGTTTGTGGCAGATCCCCAACTCGTCTCATAATAGAAGCACAATGACGGCGTAATCTGTATGCCACAGCAACAATTAGCATTCTCCTGGAATTAGCTATCCAAATGACAAGACCTGGGTGCTAGTGATCTGTCCCAAAAGTAGACGGGATATACAATCTTTGTTAGTTGGTTCTTAACTGCAAAATAACGTTCACCTCACCTTCTTTATCTGCGACAGCGTTAAAGACTAAATTCCGCAATGAAGCCTTGTCAATATTTTAAATGTTAACTAGAAGCTATCAACGGCGGTCCCAAGAACGATGATGCACCCTGTCATGCTTCCAGATTATTAGGTGGTAGTCTAGGCGCACATTTCTTTTTGTCATTGTGTTGTCAGATGTGTATGGAAAGAATGGTCAAATCGGTGGTGCAATTTCAGGTAGGCTTAACTTTTCTTGTGTGGCCATTCGAGATTCTGACAAGCGCAAAGCCACAGCAGTTTATTTGGCCCATGTGAAACGACACCCCATAGTTCACTTCTGCAAGCACAAGAGACTATCCGAAATACATAAGTGAGGTAAGGTGCAACGAAAATTTACACCTCTGGACATCAACGCTTGCAACAGCTTTCTTTGACTGAATCCGTCTTCCATGCTGCCGTATGGTTTCTCCAATTAACGAAATAGGCTCGGTCCAGCTTATATAGTGCTTTTCAAACACATGCACACAGTGAATGGAATAATGAAGTATGATTGAAAGCGACAACAGCAGCTTAAAGCAGCCGAGGCGAGCAAAAGATAAGTGTGGTGGTCGTCAAGCAACCTGGAGAAGAGTATTCCGGAATTTACCTATGCTTCTTTCTTCAAGTTTGGCCAAAGCGGAACTATCGTAAGCACAGGCAAATACGAACTTGTTTCAAATTTTGGCGAGGTTGTAACTCAGTACTGGTTGAGATTATTTTGGCAAACATATAACACTAATTGACAGATTTTTCGTGGAGGTTATTAGGAGTTGATTTTTTCGCTGGCACATCCGTAGAAAAGTTAGAGATTTCCGTTGACTTATTCCATTCTGTATAAGAATAAAATGTGCTCTACGGTATAGGTGCGTGAGCCAAATGACCCACCTTCAATGCGCACGAGGCAGCTTGTTTGCACAGCTCCAGCAATGTTCTCGGCAACCAGGGTATAAAGTCCTGCATCCTGGTATATACATCTGTCCACAGACAGTGAGGCGTTCGTTGTAATTGTAGGCTCCTTGGCGTCTTTCCCGGTTGGTGGTGTCGATATGATTGGGCCAATTTTGGTTCGATGGGATTCAACGATCCTCTTGGAATCTTTGGTCCAGTATAGCGTTGCAGATGGGATAGCGTCCACCAAACATGGCAGTAGAAATGGCGAGTGTAGTTGGACCGTAATCACAGGAACTGGAACTTCTAAGAACACCGGTGCATCTGTAGAGATACGGTAAATGTGTTATTGTACGCAAAGCCGCCTGACGCATATGGTCTATAAAATTCATATGCGAAGTGTAAACTAATAGCGCGCGCTTGGCTAAATGCAGATGTGTAGCTGTACTAAGAAGACATCGTTCATAAGCAGTGTGTATTGGTACAGAGAGATCTCGGGTGTTGTAAACAAGCACAGAAGGCGACGAGAACCGGCAATCAACACTTCGGCCTTCTTCGCAGAGTCTTCGGTCGGTTTGAACTCGAAATTTTTCCCCAAATGCTTAACGCCTACGTGCGACATCACGTGGAATATGCTATTCAGGCGTGGCAGCCGTGGCAGAAACAGCATCTCGTTGCTCTGGAGACTCTTCAACGAAGGGCAACCAAGAACGTCAGGGGCCTCTTTCAACTACCCTATCAACTTAGACTGAAATCTCTAAGAATGTACAGCAGTCGAAATAGGCTTTTGCGAGGGGATCTCATAATCGTTTACCAAATTCTGAAGAATACAAATCACATCTGCCGTCCGCTGCTGGAATTGAACCACAACACTAAACTAAGAGGTCACCCTCTGAAACTGACAATTCAGTATAGCCGGCTTGAATGCCGTAGAAATTTCTTTTCTCTCCGCGTGTGTGAGCCTTGGAACGCCCTCCCTAATTATGTCGTCTCTGCTCCCAATCTGGAGATATTTAAAAAATGTGTTGACGATGCATTGTCTCACTTACATTTCATTTTATGACTTGTTAGCCAGGGGCTACAAAACGCAATCAAACGGTTTCTTGCCAAACGCCTAACCAATGGATTTATGGATTTATACGCTTGATATGCGAACATCTCCGCTATTTCACATAAGTCTATGTTGAGTCCACCACAACGCTGTTCACTTTATTATGCAATTGATTTTCGCAATAATTTCCATCCCACGGGACTTGTTAAGCGATGCTTTTTTACCCGTAATAAACCATTGTTCCATGAGGTTACCACTTTATTATACCACCGGCAGTCTTCACTATTTTTACACAACAAATCCATACAACTCTCCCAATGAGTACATTTAATATAATCATACGTAGTAAGACAACCGGCTTCCAAAGCTTATACATGTTCGTTAGGCTTGAGTATTCCAAAGATTTCCATGAAAGTTACTTTGATAGAAAAACAACGGCGGTAGGCGTAAGATACCCATTATATTGCACCGATACTTACACCGAGCGAGTCGCTTATCACATTACCAAGCGCACACTCACCCGCTTTTTTGACAAAAAATTCCTTGGATGCAGTGCCTCGTATGTTGACCGCTTTGCAGACATACACTCCGAAGTCTTCATCCGTCAGGTTGTCGACGATCAAAGCAGCATAATCGCCAGCTTTTGAAACTTGGCACCTATGTCTGGAGAGACGGGGTTGGTAGCTGGGCTCTAAGAAGGGAAACAAAAGGCAAAGGCGCTGAGCACGGCATAATGGAGACAGAGGCATGCATTTACTTGACATCGCATCTCTTAGACCAACCGCCGCTCCAATGCAGCGCAGTTTTACCAGTTTTACACTTGCATACAACCTAAGAGTAATAAAATAAGCTGATAATAGTGTGCGAAGAATGATTACTTTTTCATGCGTTGATGCGTTTATCGATTTGCCTCACACAGAACTACGGACCTATGTTGATCCTCGATAACCGGTTGAGCTAGTTTCGTGAGTTACTATATAAAACCCATAAAGCAAATAAAGTAAGCTACAATAAACTAGCCACTTACTTTGGAAATGCAATGCAATCGCAAACAATGTGCACTGCTTAGTTGAATTGAAAGAAAAAAATTTTGTATCATTTACCGGAAACAACCCATTCATGCAGTATTTCCTCTTCCTGTTACGTGTTCCATTGAAGAGATCTGGTGACCAGTGGCGTAGCAACTACCTTTGCCGTCCTCGGCGGACCTAAAACTGCCATCCCACCTGCAGTTGTAAATACCTAAACCCACACAATTGTGAACAGACCATAAATAGTTCGTAACAAATAACAACAACTAAAGATCTAATTTTAGAGTGTTGCTTTAATGCAGGTAGCTGAATTGTTACAATACTCGTGTACAAAATTTACCAATACACATTTCGTTTATTACTTGAGGCAATAGTATTGACAATACTAACGATATTCAGTCCATTGGCAAGTTCCCTTTGTATGGAGAGAACTGCCAATCCGTGAGCCTTATCTGGTTCATTGATGATTGAAGGTAGTTCGTAAAACGTTTGTGTCTTGAGCATGGGCTGTCACAGCTGGCAGTACTAATAGTTCGAGTAAGAAAGATGCGCAGCGGCTTTCCCAAGGTAGTATTTCTATATGAAGCTCAAAAATTTCAGGAGATATAGTATTATTGTCGTTGCTTGAAGCTTCGCAAAATACGGCAATCTTCTTCTTCCGGCAAAGAATTCCTATGTTCTATATTCCTCAATTTCGCTAAGCGGACAACCATATTTCGCATCAAGCAGATTTACTGTGTAAGAAAAGCATATTTGTTTGTAAAATCAGGCAGTTACTGAAATCTCTGGCATCTCATCAGTCAAGCTGTCTATGCTAGACAGCATCTCCCGTTTTAACTCAGTATCAAATCGCATTGATATAACAATTATTCACCGTTCATTCGTTTCTTTTGGCCGATTCGACGCTTCATGCTTGTTCCTAACTCAGCGTGGTATCTTTTGGTTTCATCCATTGCAATATTCACAATCTTCTATTCTGAGGAAGGAAAACTCATAACATTGTAATCGTGACAGAACATTGCTGCAGATCCGGCCTTTTGCTCACACATATATGTGCATCCTTGATTTCTATGGAAGCAGATCTCCAAGGGCTCAAAAAAGCAAAACGGAAACCACAATACCGAGTGGATACCTAGAGATGCATTTGATCTTGTGGTTGCAGTTTCTCCCTATTCTGTGGAGTGTTTCAGAGAGGTGATGAATTTTGAGTACTTCTTCACCACAATATTTACAACGCCTGCTAGACTACTCCACTTAGAGTTTACAGTCACTTGATACATAGACCGGTGACTTTAACCGAAGCATTCCAGCAAGGTTTAGATGAAAAAAGGAAATATCCAGTCCATCGTACCAAATGTGTAACAGAATGTACGGTCACAGAAGTTGCACGAACACAAGCCAAGTTCAGGAATTAGTTAGTGCATGGCACAATCAATCCTGAATAGCTTGTCTACAGTGGTCCCATTATTTGTTCTGCGCTTCGCACCTTAAAAGTGCAAAGTGTTGCTGCCGGACCACCAGAGCCTTGAAAACGATGAACTCGAGCTGGTTGATCGATTCATTTGCCTTCGCAGCTGAATCAGCAGCGATGGGCGCATAGAAACTGAAACCAGTTCACACATTGCAAAGGCTAGAACTGCCTTCTTGAATCTGCGGCATCTTTGGAGACAGAAGAGAATTGCCCTCCGTCTGAAAGGTTGTGTTTACAAAGCCACAGTGAGAGGCGTCCTGCTCTATGTTAGTGAGACTTGGCCCCTTCGTTTTGTAGATCTGAGGCGCCTTCAAGTCTTTGGTCATCGTTGTCTACGAATCATTGCAGGTGTCGGATGGCATTAGCTTGTCCGCAACGATGATGTGCGTAGGCGAGTACTAGGTGGTACTAATCATGCTAGCTCCCTAGAACAACACGTATCGTTGAATAATTTGTGTTGGCTTGGGCACCTGCTACATATGCCTGGTCACCGCTTACCTAGGAAGGCCTTGTTTTGTCGGTCAGATGTAGGGTGCCGCATGGCTTGTGGAGGACAGAAGTTGACTTGGCAGCGGGAAATGAAGTCACTGACGATCAAAATGGATGCCGTTGGTCCTTCTTGTCTTCCGGGCTGGAGTCCATGTGATTCGCCTTGTGTTTGGCTCGAGACTTTACAGGACATGGCTCGCAGTCGACACCAGTGGCGCTTCTGTTGCCGTCTCCTAGTCGGACTGCCTGTTTAAGGTGTATTTGGTGCTGAGTTATCTGCGGAGTAACGCCTGGTTATGACGTGTGGCAGTGAAAGCCGCAAGGAAGCTGTCTCGCCGATGCCGTCTTATCTTTGCACGATAGCCAGCTGTTTGTGACAGTATGTTGTCTACACAAGGTGTAGGCGCCTAGCTCTTGAATGTTTTCTTAGGGCATTAAGATTTTCAGGTAAGTCCCCCTTCTCACGCTCTTATTATTCTTTATTCCTTAGTTCATCATGGTTGCATGACAGCGAAGCATCAGTTCAAATGGCTGATGTACTGCTGTTGTTGGTGATAATGAGTACATGGCAATAACATAACTTTGGGCTGATTTCGCAGATATCTCGGCACACCCGATTGGTAGACCACCATAACAGCAACATTATCAAATGTCTGGCCACGGCAGTCATCAATCCGAATGCAATCCTTCTCCGGGTCTTCCAATACCCATCCAGCAATTTTCACTGCACTTTTGATGTTTGTCGCCATGAAGCTGAGAATTGACTCCTCTGCCTTCACTATACTTTCACTAATTTAATTTTTGTCACGTGCTATCAAAAAAGCACATACTTTCCTTGACCTGATCTGTGATTTCCTTCCTCATCTGCTTTACCAAAATGTCCTCTAATTCATTGTGAACGTGTGGCGACAAAAAGAAAGTGCTGATTTTCCTTCCCGGCTGAACTGCCACCAAAGGTTCGTGAAGAACAGGTTTATAATTTACCAACAAATGAATAAATGCTGAAAAATTCCATCAATTTTCCTGGCCTCCGTTTTTATCCTGGAAGTCTTCTCGGTGACCACGTAGTTTCATACTTTGCTTGGCGAGAAACCTGACGATGTCAAATATGGGAGATTGAAGTTCACGTCACCTCATTTCTACAAGCGCTAGCTATAATTTTTAGCAATTGCCTTTCCTTCAAAGAGCTGGATGCATAGCTCTATGAAGTTAAGAAATGAATGAGCAAGCAATAGATTAGATACGTTTCCACATGTTTTGGATTAAGTTTCCACCAGTTTTCCAGACCCTCGGCAATTGAAAAGATAGACTATCCCGTTGAACACGTTTTGCGATCGAAAGAAAACACGTCCTCCGTTGAAGAAGAATACATCATCAATGTTCGCAATGTTTGAGAAGTTTAGCAAATACGGAAAAATCCAATACGTTTTCCGATTCTCAGTCCCAGCTTTTGCATTTGATCCAAGTAAAACCAATTATGCAACTCATGATCGAGGTGCTGCAAAACAGTAAATCGGAGCCAGACACACATAGGGAGATTTTCAGGGTCAATCTTAACGGGCAGCTGAAAGTCATCCATACAATTGGTTGATGTGGGTATTATCGCGCCAAAGTGTGACCGCATTTTCCATTCTTCAACTTCGCACGCATCTTCGACAGAATGCTTATTAATTATGTAAAGTATGAAGCCGCTGCACTCCCGTGCTGACGTACCACGGTACGCTGAATTGTTAACTGGCCCATGGCCCAAACTGCTTTGCCCGCAGGTGTGAGATGGGGCACAGGGGCGCGACATATGTGGCTATGATCGCAGGGCACACCGAGCTATTCGGCTGTGAGAAGTGAACGCTAGCAAACACCGCAACCGCAATCGGCCTGTCATGCGTCGATCGTAGGGCAAGACCAAGGGAAGGCACGCCGATCGGCTGTGAGAAGTGAACGTTAGCCATGCACCACGTATCATGCTTCGATCGATCGCTAGTCGGTCTTCACGCAGGTGAAAAGCCAGCAGAAGGGTTCCCTGCGAAGTGGTTGGTAGGTCGCTGTGCCAGCAATTGAGAAAAACAGCCTGGCCGTATGTTATAACCAGTCGATGGGCGCCGTGTTGCCATCGACACAAAAGCTGTTATCGACTTGTGACTGGCTGCCAATAAACCCGTTAGCTTTTATTAGACTGCTTTCGCCGCTAAATGGAATCATACTGCCGGGAGCACCTTGTAAGTTTAAAGTGTTGTTCGCTTTACCATTTCAATCGCGTGTGTGTTACAGCTGAAAATTTACCCTTCATGGGTGCAGGAAAATGAATGCTTCACTTGACTTGACGTGACAATGCTCTTAGTATTCAGTCTGCCCCGACGCACTGGTGTCAACATTCGACAGCACACCAATATAGTCATGAATGCAATTATTGCCCTCACAGTCAGACAATTGCTAGTTGTACAAGTTGATCAGGTCGTCGCTGGTGTTTCGCATGTACAATGGAGAATATACATTGATTCCTTTATTTACATATATTTACCTGAAATATCTGTAAATCTTAGCGAATAAGATGTTCGTAGTGTCATCCGTCGTTTTGGATACAGAGAAGCAATCCGCCGGATGGTGTTGGCGAGCACGTTCTGCAATATCTCCAACGAAACCTGTCTGCATTTGTTCACAATGCTCTCTTTCAGTTCATCAACCCTTCTGTCTGTAGCTGAG